TTCAGAATATTTTTTTCTTGTTTTCCTCCTCAAAAACTAGGTGCGTCTTGTGGTCTGGTGCGTCTTATAGAGCGAAAAATATGGTGATTCCTACGTATGGACTCATTAATATAGCCCTAAGTGGGGTGGAGCAAAACCAGGAGTATTGCAACTTTTAAAGGAAATGAAAGATGGAGCAGGCTTGTTTTCTCCTGCCCCAGAAGGCAGGGCCTGAACCAATGGATTCAAGCTAAAAAAATGAGATTCCGAATCAACATCAGAAAGAACTTTCTGACAGTATGAGCTGTTTGACAGTGGAATGGAGTCCCTTGGAAGGCATGGTGGGCTTGGAGGCTTTTAAGCAGAGGTTGGATGGTCATCTGTCATGGATGCTTTAGTTGAGATTCCTGCATTGCAGGAGGTTGAACTAGATGACCCTAAGGATTCCTTCCAACTCAACAATTCTGTGATCTTGGAAATAATCTGTGTGCCTTTCACAGAGCTCGCTATGTGCACATGGCCCTCCCACCTTATTATGCACAGAAGCAAGTTTAGAACACAGTTCCTATGCCAAAATGCAGGGAAGGGTCACCAAGCTTGATTGCCTTAATACCAGACCATGATGGGCAGAAACCAAGGACAGATACACAAACTTTAGAGGCATTACTGCAGTGTGAGATGCAAGTATGCCACAGACGTGGATGGAATTGAGATCCAAATCAGGAGATTAATTTGCCCAAGTTCCACCAGCACTCCCCATCGAAAGAAAGAACTTCTCTTTTAAATGATGTGGAAAATAACTTGCATATGAAAATGACAGAAATGCTTTGTTGTTGTTTTTTTGCAAATTGGATGGCTACAATGCAAGCATACCTCTGAGACGGGAGCATCATTTACCTTTATTCCCCACAGACAGGTGTTTATTATGCATCTCTCTTTCTCTAAATTCCAACCACACTTTGAGACACATGCTAGACAGCAGAAATGGGATTTAGGCACCTGCGGTAAACTAAAGAGGCTCCCCCAAGCCTGTGACTAGGAAGAGCACCAGAGCAGCTACTCACTTTTAATTGCTCCCTGTAGCATGGAGCAATTAGGGAAGCAAGTCTCAGGCAGAAATCCTTTGAAGTCCTCATATCCTGAACTCCAACTGCCTGCAGCTCCATAGCTCTCGGTTCAGATACAGCAGAAAACAGTGGGACAGGTTTTTGGCATGCACGACACATTAATGCTGTTGTGTGCTAACTATGTTCACGACTGCCCACCTCTGAAAAATCTAAATTCTACATTGCCATGTTTAGATGACTCTGTGTGTAGCAGAAGCTCATCCTCCACCCAACGGCATACTTGGGAATGACCCATGCTGACAATGACAGAAGCAAGTAGGTCAGGTATAGATTCCTATTCCTAGATGCATATTCCTAACAGCAAAAGCTCACACATTGTACCGCTGCTTTTTAAGGCTGAGTACATTTCAAGACTTTATTCTTGTTGTTCTTTGTATGCAGGTCCCAGTCTGAAAGAACATCAAGTGACCCCTTTGCCTTATTTGGCATAATTGCATAGTAGCTCCTATAAAACATGCCGGAATTGCCAATAAAAAATGGTAAAGGGACCCCTGACAGTTAAGTCCTGTCACAAACGACTCTAGGGTTGCGGCACTCATCTCGCTTTACAGGCTGAGGGAGCCAGCGTTTGCCCGCAGACTGTTTTTCCAGGTCACATGGCTAGCATGACTAAGCCGCTTCTGGCAAAACCAGAGCAGCACACGGAAACGCCAGTTGCCTTCCCGCCGGAGTGGTACCTATTTATCTACTTGCACTTTGACGTGCTTTTGAACTGCTAGGTTGGCAGGAGCTGGGACTGAACAACAGGAGCTCACCCCGTCGCGGGGATTCGAACGCCGACCTTCTGATTGGCAAGCCCAAGAGGCTCAGTGGTTTAGACCACAGCGCCACCTGTGTCCCACGAATTGCCAATGCCACTCATTTTAGAGCCTCCAGGAAAAGCTCTCTCTCCCCCTCTTTATTGAAACACATTTATTCAAAAGTTACAACACAGTTTCGTCCACTGCCATAATATCACCATAATATCACAGAATGATCACTCCAATCCTCAGTCCCATGTCACTGTCATGTTGGCTCACCAAATACTCTCAATCTGGTTTACTGGACATTTTAAATTAATATATCCCCTCCACAGACACCTCTGTGATGATGGTGGCATTAAAATATCCTGTTCTTTTTCAATAAAAGAGGAAAAAGGAGACCAAATCGTGCCAAAGGTATCTTTCTTGGAGATGCCTTTGATTAGTTGCCCATGGTATGTGAGGCATTCTAATAAAGCAATGTTCCAGGTGTTATTAATCCAAGCCGTTACTGGTATATTAGAGGCTTTCTTCCGTCGTTGAGCAATAACTAGTTTAGCTGCTCTGAACAGGAAGGAAATTAATTCTTTAGATTTAAGGGTAGAATTTGGGGCCAAATCTAGTGATAGTAAGCTAAGTAAGGCAAGGAGAGATAGATTGTTTAGTGATTTGGGAGCGGGGTCTGACTCAAAGCTGTTTGCAGCTTTAAGCATTAGAACTGTACCTTGAAATAGCCAGAAAAATAAACTTGCAACTAGGTACAGTTTGTGGAAGTGCCAGATACCAAAGCTCATCACATTCTCCATCAGATGAAGTTTCAAGGAATAAAGGCATAATATGACTTCTAATCTTAACCAAGCTTGGCTGCAGCAAAGACGTACATATGGTGGTAATCTCTCCAAGTCAGGCTGCAGGCTGAAATAAGTTGGAATGGGTAGAAAGCACTCTTGACAAGAACTGCCACCTGCATATACAGCACCAGGCCAGATATGCAACAGAAATTACAGGCTGCAAAACTGAGTCAACAGCCGAGGAAAATACCAGCGATGACCAAATGGCTACCCACGATAAGAAAATTTGTGGGATTTGCAACTTGAGTCAGCCCTATGACTAACACAAATAAAGAATTAACCCAACTAAAGAACACTTCCAGTTCCTTAGAATTAAAACATAAGAATCAGTTTTTAAATCCAAAAACTAAAATACAAGAATCATGGGAACATTTGTCAATTTCTGAGGTTTATTTACTACTTGTTCTGGCAAAAAAGGCATGTCGCTATAGTATTCCCACTGGACACAATAAACAGGTCAAAATGTAAATATCATAAGACTAAGCTTCAGCTGAAAGCCCTAAGCTTGGGGGGTGGGGGACAGACAATAGTTTTATACCTTAGTGAGCAGAAGTTCTCCATAGTTTGTTATTGCCCAGTTGACACATCTGAGTGAATGGTACAACACAAGAGCAGAGATGACTCCTGCTTTGCTCCTCGCCTAGCACAAGCAGTAATACACAATACCTGGAGTATCCTGACATCTGAACCAGGAATAGTGGTTTATTTTGCTCAAACTCTTAACTCTGAATAACACACCTTGGCTACACACTATGGTTTGTTTGGAGCAACCCTGGTTTGAACATAAAGCTAAGCCAGAGGTCATGTTTATTGCTCCCACCGACAGCAAGGGAAAAGCAAAGCAGGAATCACCTGCACATCCATGATAAATCATTAGCTGAATCAGATTTTGCTGAGTTTTGCATTCCATTTAAAACACAATAATAGCATAAGAAGAGCCCCGCTAGACCATGCCAAAGACTCATCTCATCCACCAGCCTGTTTTCACAGTGGTCAACCAGATACTGATTGCAGCAAAGCGACTGCACTTATTGCAGGGAGAAGACCCTTCTCTGCACATGGAACATTGTGCTCTGTTGCAGAGATGTCCACTTGGGAGTTGCATTTGCCTGATGTCATTTTCAGAGGCTATATCAGGTACAATAAGCACAAATGGGAGAGTGCCTGCAGCATTCCAGCAAGTTCTAACCAGCCACATTCCTTGTAGTTTCTGAAAACACTACTATGAGAACAATTGCAGACACAGATACCCTGTCCATGCATTTGGAAACCCTGAAAAAACAGGACTACCAAGCGAGCAGAGAAAAGCTGCCCATGTGTACAGTCACATATGTGGGAGTCATTTCAAACATTACAATGAATGTCTGTCATTCAGGGACTAAGCCTGCTGCTGCAATGCTGCTCACCATTCTCCACAATGCACATTATAGGTGTGAAAGGGGCTTGAGTCTGTCTCAGAAAGGAGGTTTATGTTGAGGAAAAACTCTGAAAGGGTTCTGAAGTTTGTGCACCTTTTTTCCTAAGGCACACTTGCAATTTGCCAATGCCTTTCTTGGCTTGGGCAGCTAGGAAATCACCCTGCAGCCAGGCTCTTCTTTGAGAATTGGCAGGTGCCAAACCTCATGTGCTCATGTGAACTCCACCCAGCAGGAGACAGTGTTGAGGCAAGAACCTATGTAATGTCGTTTCTTCTACCTTCTCCAATCATTAAAATGGCCTTTTGCAGAGAGGAGGAAGGGATGAGGGTCTGAGCTTCATATTTACTGAGTTCAGTAAGTGGCTGGCTTCCGCCTCCCTCTGTGCCCAGTGTCAAATACCTGCTGGCTTTATGCAGCTGTTAAGAGCATTGAGAGAGCATGCTCTGAGAAGGAATTCTAAAATAATGGTGGCGTTCTGCCTCTAGAGTACATCTGAGTACACCTCTCACACCTGGAATTTTGAACAGACTTGAAATTCTGAGAAAGTACCAAGGGCACCAGTCACAAAATGGATGCTGTGTATAGGAGAAGCCAAACCAGTGTAAACAGCAACTGAACTGGAAGAGAAAACAATCTCTGCTGCACTGTAGATTTCTGAGGAGTATTTATGGAGACTTCTTGCAGGTGCCATAGGAGGTACTGCTGGACACTGCTCTAAACCTCTCAACATAAAAAACTGAACCTTCTTCAGAAGTCCAGTTGGTAGCATCTTGCAAGTTCTCAGAAGGTCTGGAGATGCAAGAAGTCTAATCCTGCGCACACACTTTTAGTCAAAGCGCTGCAATAAGAAACAAGGGCAGATTCAAGAGAGATTGTTTGGCCTACCTGAATGGCTTCTGTGGTGTGATGAGGCCAGAGTCAGCCTTCCCCATAGCGTTATAAGGCAGAGAGAGAGCACCAATACCCCTTTGCTCAAGCTTCGGATGTCCCTCTCACTCATTCTGCCAAGGAAAAAGAAATTGCATTAAGATCCACATGTCATGGATAGGGCGTCTACAGGTCAGAAAAATCCCAGCATCTCAGACTACATCAAGTTGCTGTTTCTGGAACAAACAAGCTTTATTTTAACATATTTCAGCATTTCAAAACTAAACGAGTGGAGCATATGGCACAATTGGGGATCCTGATAAACCAAGATTATCTTTCAAGCAAATGTAAATTAAAGTCCCGGAAGACCTTTCCCTCTGAAAGTGGGAAGGTCAGGCCAAAACACACAGGAAGAGGTATGTCCAGCGATGCGTGGGGCAGGGCCTGCATCCAGGCCTGAACATGGCCATGCCCTCACACAGCCATAGCACACAATGACTATGTTTGTATTTTCTCTTTTCACAAGTAGCTGTACAAATATAGTCCAAATAACTTCGGAGCAAAATGAGCTTCTTTTTGGTGCCAAAATGAGTTGGTCCAAAATTCAGCCCAGGAAAAGGGAATTGGTGGCATAAAGGAAGATCTGTGTGTTCCAAATAGATTCCTGCCACTTTAAAAAAGACACCATTTTGCCAAGATTAATTCAGACTTTTAACAACAGGCTTTCTTGTGAAATAATAGAAATAAGTGTTTGAATAATGATACTTACCTCCTACTGGGGCTTCACAGCTATTGTCTGTGCATTGGCCAATCTCATATAGACTCGGTATTTGCAAAGAAGGGCAAACATCAGGGCATCTAAAAAATGAAAAAAAAACAAACAGCTACTTAAATTTACAGAGGACAGAGTCTGCCTAAAAGCACCAGTGTATCGTACTGCCCAAGACAAAACTCTAGAATAACACATACAGTAGCTTGTAAACAGAGGCTAATCCTCTTTGCAGAAACAGTGGCGTTATTATTATTATTAGTAGTAGTAGTAGTATTAGTATTATCATTATTAGTCCCTCTCCTGCCCTCCTCGTATTTCAGCTAACATCATGGGTGCCTATTTTACAGAGGACAGTCCTCTCTTTGAAGGGTTGAATAGAACACCTGAACAGAAATCTGGGAAGGCAGGAAAGTGATAAAAGAGCACAAGATCGCTGCTGAAGGAAACCAAAGACCTGCCTAGTCCAGCATTCTGTCCTCCTTAGTTGCAAGACTGTCAGGTATTATTCTTCCCTTCTTCCCTTGAGGACAGTGGTGGCAGCTATTTTTGCCAGGGTAGCCCACTCATAGGATAAATGGGACATTTGCACTGTGTCACGTTCTATGAGGCAGATTGGGGTGAAGAGGCAGCTTGCTGCTAGGAACTTTTTCCAGTTCTTTCTGTACCCTACAAAATGACTGGCCGAGAGCAGCAGCTAAAGGGCAATAGGTGAAAGGGGCATGTCCATTCATGTAACTCCAGCTGGAATACATCTATATGGGGATCACAGTCAAACTGCTCTATACCTTGGATGTGAGAAATGCTGTTAAAAATGGGCCCTTGCAGAAGTGATTTTTCCCAAAACAGGTTGAGCTTATTGTAAAGTGCATTTCTAGCACCTAAAGTTCTTCTTGCATTTTGTTTCCTTTCTTTTTTTGCCTGCTGTCCAGAGCGTCAGATCCTACGGCAAGCCTATAGCTGCCATCCCTCCTCCAACCACATCCAGACACTCACACAGGACATCCACCGCTTTCACTGGTTCAAATTTAAAAGAGAGGTAGAGCTGGGTATCATCCGCATACTGATGAACACCCAGCCCAAACCCCCTGATGATTTCTCCTAGTAGCTTTATATAGATGTTAAAAAGCATGCGAGGAAAGGATGGAACCCTGAGGCACCCCACAAGTGAGAGCCCAGGGGTCTGAACACTCATCCTCCAACACCATTTTCTGGACACGGCTCAGGAGGAAGGAGCGGAACCACTGTATAACAATGCCCCCAGCTCCCAGCTCCTCTAGGCGGTCCAGAAGGATTTCATGGTCAGTGGTATCAAAGGCCACTGAGAGATCCAGCAGAACTAGAAAACAGCTTTCACCTTTGTCCCTAGCCCACCGGAGATCATTGACAAGCGCAACCAATGCAGTTTCAGTCCCATGAATGAGGATGTAGAAATGTTAAGGGACAGCAAGCAGTCGCAGAGCATAGAGTCTTCTTGCCTGTGCAGTCTCCATTTACTAGGGATGGGGGGGGGGGGAAGAGACGACAATTCACAGCCTTGTATATCACCTGCTGCGATTTAACGGGGTCCAGAGTGAACAACCACAGAAGCTGTAAAACTTTAGTGCCCAATCAGAATTTATTAACAGGGAGCTGGAGAGCGAGTGTATGTTGTTTGTGGTGATGGAGAGCCCTTCCTGGGCACAGGGCCAGCTCACAACTGTTCCTTGTCAAAACATAACACTGGATCTCTAATGATTTATCTGTAAGCATTTTAATCTGTCGTTCTATGACAGCAATTCTTAAACTCTTGTTTTATTGTGGCCCACTATTCTAATTTGCTTGTTCTTCAGGAATCACAGTACAGTATTTGCTATGAGGCTGCCTGAAAGGCTTCTTAGATGAGAACTAATCTCCTTCCAAACTCTGAAATGGCTGTAGCGAATGCACAGAAGGGGAAGCATAGTTTGTGTATGCTCCATGTTACTGAGTTGTATTTGTTAAGCAAGGCCAGTAGTGGGGGCCCCGATCCATTACGGTGGATGAGGCATTGCCCTACCAACCCCCACCTGCCCTCAGAGAGCCCTTCTTTGCCTGCTTTCTTACTTAGATGTAGCCCAGGGTATGGCAGTGCCTGCTGGTTTCATCCCCCACAGACTCAGTGTTGCCTTTGTTCAATTCATCTGTGAGGAGCATGGGGACAAAATTAGGGCCACATTAGCAAGAGGGCTTGTTGCTGAATATGAGAAGAGCTATGAGTCTCAATGGATGCCGTTTACGTGATGACCAACTGCACCATCCCCTCAGTAGAGATGCTGGAGGATTCTGACAAAAACAGCAAAGGGAAGTGGAAAGGCTGCAGGTTGTATGTTCACCTGTGGTCAGGAACAAAACTCAGTCCAGCCAATATAATCTGTATTCATTCGCATTGAAATGAATGCAAGTTACACGAATAGTTTCATAAGTTGCATAACTTATGTTAACTAGTGGACTGTGAGATGGCTAACACAGTATTTGGCAGAAACTGAACTGCAGCAGAACAGAAACAGTGTGGATTATGATGAATACAGGTTGGATTGGAGCTTTTTGCCTTCTTATAGCCCTACTCCCCAGCGCCTGCTGTCTTATAGCTATGCTATTATGGTGATGCCATAGACTGGCTGGATGCAGAGAAGTGGTGGGAGGCACCAGCGAGGGAACCCTCATGGGAAGGAAGGCCCAGAACCAGAGGAGTGGTGGTGGGACAATGATGAGCAGTCAGAGGAAGAAGGAGCAGGCTGCGAGGAAGAGGTGTCAGCAACAGCAGACAGGGTTTAGTGAACAAGAAGAGTCTGTGACAAAATGCAGTTCAGAGTCAAAGGCTGAAGCAGAGGCTGGAAAGGAGGGGGTCAAGAGCTTGCTGAAGAATCCAGGAAGCCTCCCCCTCCTGCTGCGACCAGCTCCCCTTCCCCCTTGGTCTCCAAGAACACAGAGAGAAATGAAAAGAGGTTAGTTGTGCACAGACACAGTTTGAAAAGGAGGAGTCATAGAGAAGGGTACTTGCAACTGCTTCATCAGGGCAGAACCTCCTAGGAAGAGTTGCTGAGACCACTAGGCTGGAGCTCTGTGGCTTGTTTTCTTGAATAAAAACTGGCCTCAGGTGATTTGTTTTTGTTGTTGCTGACCTACGCCCGATTCAAGCTTTGACAGGTAGGCACTCAGTTGTACAAGCACAATCACAAACACTTCCAATTTTTCCCCATTCTCAGATAATTTTTTTGTAAGGTCTCATAACATGCAGGTCATGTTATGGCATGGTAATCACTGTCAGAGACATTACAGAGACTGATGTTCAATTCAAACAGCCTTGTTCGCATAAGTTTATTTTTCTAGTCAGACAGTGGTGAGATCCACTTGCAAAGTGGTAGTATAAAAAGGTCCTGCATGAATTTCCAAACTAATAAGGAAAATGTTGACTCACAGCCATTTGGGATCGTTTTAGTGACCCAATTTTATATTATTCTTGCTACAAGCCTATTCAGAACTCACAAGGGGAGCCTAGAATAGAAAAAGCTCCCAACACATAGAGGGCTATGAGAATTGCAACAGAAGGAAAGGAACCAGGAAGCAGAGCCTCACACCCCCTTCTCACGCAATGATAATCTCATGAGAAGGAATGTTGGAGAGAGGGAACAGCAGAATCCAGCACGGAACCAGGTGTACACAAGATGCCTTCTAAATGTGTTCTTGTGAATTCATGCGTGTTGAAACAAGTGGTTTTCATGTACTTTTTCAAAGGTAATCCTATGACCAGCACAGATCCATTGCCCACTCAACCACAAAAAAGTTAATGGAGCACCTACTGAGACCCAACTTTTTACATAAATTCTGACCTTGATTTGGTATGTCAGAAAACAGCCTACCTCAGTCAGAGGCACTTCATAGGCTGCCCAGCTCAACTCAGGGTCTTTCTGAACTACCGTATTTCTGTAGCTAGCCTGTTGCCTCGCAGTACCCTGAAGTGGACTCATGGTGGGCCTAGCCAGCTAGGAATCTCATCCCCTTACAGGCAACACCAGCACAAAACACAGCCAAACCCCACTAAGCAAGGAGACAGGCAGCAAGCAAGGAGGCAGCTGCCTGCTAGCTAATCCACCCACCAATGCTCTGTCCCAGCTGGGGCACTTCCCTGTGTCTGCAAACCCAAGAAGTGCAAAGCAGGCGATGGGAGGTGGTAGCCAGGTGAACTGCTCCTTGGAGCATCCTGTGCTGAGCATGCCATGCCGGAGAAAGCATGATGAGCAGGAGTGAGTGGGAGGGCAACCCAGGGGAGCATCTTTTAACCTGGCAGCATTCCTCTCCACAGACAGTTTTAAGCCAGCCCACCTAGGATGAAATTAAGCATCACAATAGTGACTTGCCCTGTGAGATATTTTCATTCTCCGGAGAGTGCATTTGAACTTCACCTGCTCCTCTTCTTCATGAAATGTATGAAAACAGCAGTGCCTACGTGATCAAATCTCCATTGTTTGTATTAGATATCACAGCCACTGGAAGTAATTTAAAGGATTGTTGGGATGGTATTTTTTCCAAACTCACTGATGCAAATCTGCACTGCTGATTTGCTTGTTCTTCTTGGCAAACTGGCAAAATTGTTTTGCAAAGGAATAGAAATGTGCCTTGCTCCCAAAGACACATTTGACCTCAGCTATTTGCTAATTTAATATTACTTCATCTACTGGTCAGGATTTGTTATTTTGATTATTCTGTATGTCTTAATCCTGAAATAGTGCAGGGGTGCTTGCATGAATTTTAACCAACTTAAAGAGGGTGTTAAACTTGATTGATCTAAGCCAGAGTTCTGACTTAATGAAGAGTCTTATTCTGCCTAATTCTGATTGGAGCTGGAAAAGAGGAGGAGCTCTATTTAACTGAGCACTAACACTGAACACCTGAACCAAGCAGAGGTTCACAGTCAGACTCTTAATGTAGATACACATATATGCACACTCTGCCCCATAAAGTATACAAGCCATTGACCCAAAAATGAGAAGTATGCATAAGAGTTTCTAGCTGGGGAAAAGAAGGAGCCACACAGAGTATAGGTGTACGTACTAGAAATCCCATGGCA